AAGACTGCTAGAAAACTTCATCCCAAGATTTCGTTGTATGTAGATGGGCATTTTGCAACATAGAATTCCATCACGTGGTTCTCCATTATTACAGCTTCTATGATAGTAATTTTCAGGATGATTATTCCCAATATGCGAATCTTCTACCGGAAAATCCCACCATGCTTGTGGTCGAGAGGCGCAAGTTCTCGATGCCCTTCTTCATACTTTAAAGGGTGGAGTAAAATAGGATAGCGGCGAAGCTAGCGCTACCAAACATGTCCACTTTGAACTTTCCTGTTCTAAAGGCAATCACAAGCAGGCTTGCAACACATTCTTCATCGGCTAGTTCCGAAGGATTGAAAGTGACCTCTATTTTCTCTTTTTCATGAATGCTTAGGTAGAGTGCCTCTCTCCCGATGTCTGCTCGACGATTTTTTCTCTCTCTAGTAATGTTGATGACATCATCGTCATCCATTAGGGGTCGCCAAAATGGAGGCGAGTTTGGTGGGGGCAAAGGAAGCATGTCACACCTTGGATTTTGGCACTTTTCATGCCTTGCATTTTAGGAACTTTCACGCCTCGTCAATGTTTTTTTTTATCCACCCTATTTCTCAAATCTCAAAGGGCGAGGTTACGTAAGCTTGTCCTGAATTCTCAATATTATGCTGTATCATGGGTTGCTAGTTGATGCTACTCGCACCATTTTTTTCTCCATTCATTCCTCAATGATGCCATACATCCCCTAACCCTTTGTAATCGAGATGGTCTCCCCTTCTTTTGTGGTCGGTCATGAATATTTCTCTTATATTGTCATGTTTCGTGTATCGGGGCTTGTACCCTCTTATTTCTGGAATGTGTCCCTTTCGGGGAGGCTCGCACTACTTTTTTGTCACTTCAATTTACGCCTTAAGCATATGTGCATCCCTACTTTTCTCTATCTTTAGGAGCCAACGGTTCTTTTACTGTTATTGCTCTGCACACGAGCTGGTCCATTTGCAAACTCATCCACGGACCCGTGGGTTCGGGAACCGATGAGTAATACTCACCCCGTACATCCAACATTATAACACATATAATTTTATATATAAATTTTCAATTATAACACTAAACGCACCTACTATATTATGAAGTCAACAAATAGACAATAATTTTTAATACGGTTCAAAGTATCTTATCCTAAGACATCCATAAGATAGAATACAATATAATTCAAATCATTATTCTCTTACCCTAATACATCCACTAAGTAATAACTAACTAACATAATCTTGTCAACACGAGAGAAAAAGTGAAAGAGTGAAGAGAGAATTGAGGCGAATGAATACTAGGGTTCGTTTGGACGAGTTTTTTAGTTATGTGTTATTTGTAGGTCGAAATACTTCATAAATTGGCAATGTGGTATTTATGTGTTATTTTACAAAAGTGGGTGTTAAATTGTCTCGTTTGGCTAAAAAGTTATTTTATATGTGTTATTTCTAGCAAAACACCTAAAAATACAGTTTTGCCCTCAATATAACCCCATTCCTAGCAACCTTCAATGCCCTTGTTAACCTACTTCCAGGCTCTAGCAACCTTCTTCCCAGCAACCTTCACTTGCCAATAATTTGCATAAACCAACACAAAATCTGTAAAAATAACAACCACCAAATCATGAAAAAACCAGAGCAGAAAATAACTACTGTTAATTCGATATTATGAGTAAAACAAATATGGAATGTGAACAGCTATTTGCCGCCAACAAAAAAAATAAAATTTTGAATTCAAAATTTGAATTTCGTCGTCGGAATTCTATATAAACATCATAACCAAACTTCTATCCACATTCTCAACACAAATTTCCATCGCCGAGCCTAGTGCCTCCATTGTCGGCACAGTCCCTCCATCACCGGCACCATCTCGTCGTCGCCGACCAACAAAGACGAGTAACTTTTTCTCTGGCGACTTTACCCATTTCCCGGCAAATTATAGCGGCGACCGAAGGAAAATTTCGGCCGAGGCGTGGCTCCGGCCACCATTTTCCTTCGGCTCGGGCTGGTTCCGACTGCCAGATTCTTTCTGCCCGGCCAGGTTCGGCCGTCAGAATCTTTTGACCCGCAGTTTGTCCGTTGGCAATCGTCAGAAAAATTAATCGAAATTCCAAAAAATCGGCGCACCTGCTTAGTGATGATTCGTGTGTGCGTGTGTGCAGTTTACGTAGAGGTTCGGCTTTTTCGATGATTTTTCTGCGAGTTTTTTGGCGAGCGTCGATTTTTTCCGATTCAATATGGATTTTGATAGTTGGATATGTTATAGGTAGTGAAACTCCTTTATCGAGGACGTATATATAATCAATTTTGAATTAAATTTTTTTTTGTTGGTGGCAAATAGCAATTTGGTTGGCCGCAAATAGCATGCCCCAACAAAATAAGCAAACTGTCAATCATAAGTGAAGCTAGGAGGCATGGGTTGTGACCCGGGACACATGTTCCTTAACCACTGGCTGTGGCGTGGGAGCAGGTGCTTCTTTGTCTTCCCCCCCTTCTGCATTATCAGCTGGAAGTGTTGAAGCAGGTAGTGGCTCGTCTTGCCTGGGCTGGGCAGGAGCAGCAGATATGGTCTTGCCACTCCTGGTAGTGATGGCATCCAGCTGCTGGTGAGGCTCACGAGGGTTCGGAATAGTGGTGGCAGGCAGAGTCCCCGGTGCCCTGGTAGTGTTTTGGCGAGCTATGCCCCCAATCTGATTCTGTAGATCTTGCAAAATGGCACCTTGGTTTCTCTGGCCTGCCTCCAGTGAGGCTATGTTCTGATCCATCCTCGTGAAATTTGACTGGCTGGTGGTCATGAATGCCTGCAAAATATTTTTCAAACTCCGTCATCTGAGTATCTGGAGTTGCAGCTGCTAGAGGCTGGGCATACTGACGCTGGGGCTGCTGGAATGGCTGCCCCTGCCTAGGCTGGTAGGGCTGCTGCTATGGTGGTGGCCCCTGCCTAGCCTGGAAGGGCTGCCTCTGCTGAAAACCACCTACTGATGCTGGGAAACCAGGTGGTTTAGTGGTGTTGTTACCCCAAGCGAAGTTGGGATGCTGGCGCCACCCCTCGTTGTATGTGTTGCTGTATGGGTCAAGGCGCCGAGCATTGGCGATGAAGTCCACCTGTTCTTGGGGAGTAGAAGACTCCCGCATAGCCTGACAGTCCTCCACCAGATGATTCGGGCTCTCACACCACTGACATTGAGCTACTGGAGGCGTAGTCAAACCTCGGCCCGGAATAAGACTGTTGGGCTGCTTCAATGTCTGCGCTAACTCGGCCACCTGCTGCTCGAGCCCGTACCTGGCCTCCATGGCGTGCACACCACGATCCCGGGAATTTCTGCCTCTGCTGCTCTGCTCCCAGGAATGATCTCTGGCAGCCAATGTACTGATCATCTGGTTCAGTTCGGGTGGAGTCTTAGTAAGAATATCCTCTCCCGGGCATAGAGACTCAGTCACCCTCTGGCTGTCTGGAGAGAGGGCACTGTAGAAGTTCCCCACGGTGAATGCATCACTCAAGCCGTGATGGGGAAACTGCCAGAAAAATCCCATGTACCGCTCCCATGCATCACGAAGTGACTCATCTGGCTCTTGGCGGAAGTGAGTGATCTCCCGCTGGATCTCTGTAGTCTTCGATGCCGGATAGTACCTGTGCACAAACTTATCAGCCAGATTGTCCCAAGAGGTGATGGACAATGGGGGCTGGGTCTCCAACCACCTTTTAGCATTCCCCGCCAGAGAATGGGGGAAGAGGTGAAGGCGGATTGCGTCATCAGGGACACCGTTTAGCTTGAACCCGTTCGTCAGCTGCTGAAAACGGGAAAGATGCACCCTTGCCTCCTCATCCTTCAAGCCATGAAACTGGATAGAGGATGTAATGAGTTGAATCCAGCATGTCTTGATCTCGAAGTTGTACGCTGGGATGGGCGGGTATAGGATGGCAAGGTGGATATCAGCAATGCGTGGAGTATAGTAGTACTCCAAGGTGGGACCCGGCGGCGGTGGATGATGATGAACCCCCATCTGCTTGGGGTATGGGGTTGTTCCCCAAGAACTGATTCACCGGGGAAACCTGGAGAGGATTCCCCTGGGGTGGGTTGTGTTCGCCTTCCATCTTGTACTCTTCCTCAGAATCTCTACTCAGGTGGTCGTCTATGCGCTCTTCCGTAGCCAGTCTAGCTCGCTGTTGTCTCCTAAGTTGGCGGCAGGTGCGTTCAAGCTCTGGATCCAACGGCAGTAAACCTCTCGAGTGGCTACGGGTCATGCACTATCTGCACACAGTCAAGCAATGCAAACCCGTGAAGGCACAAGTGGGAAAGAACAAACTGTAACATCCCAAACCTCGGACAATTTATAAGTCAATTCGGTTTGATGAGGAATCAAGAATTTCAACCATACTCGAAGAAATTGTGACCACGTCGAATGGTTTATGAAATGATGAATATTCTGGAATGATGTATCAGATATTGCGAACAAATGTTGATTCCACAAGTTAGAAAATTCTTCCACGATCACGTAGAATTTTACGGAACTAAGTTTGGATTCCAAACGAGTGAGATATGTCATTTTGAAGCTTACACTTCGTTATGGAAATAACATCCGTACCAACACTAATTTGGTCATAACTTCTTCGTTCGGAATCGAAATGACGAGCCGATTGCGCCCACACGATCATACATACGAGGAGGAGATTTCAGAAGGATCAAGTTCAGAATAAAACTCTCCATTAACTTTGTCGAACTAGTGAATCATTTCTTTAGTATTAAATTTTTGGGTAGGATATAATGGAATTAAATAGCCAATCCAATTTAGTTGTTTTTAATTTTATTCCACGAACTCTCCGCCTCACTTCCAGCAAAGCTTGAGCTGGAAACCAACTCTGTAAAGGCTTACTAACCGACAGCCTTTAATCGCCCAACCACTTCCTGTTGTGTGTGATAATTGAGAGAAGGGTCGACGGGAGGCTTTAATAATTGGAAAGCTTTCTTCTTCCTCCCATTCACCCATGGACGAACCAAAAACCTTGAGAGGAAAGAAGAGAGGAAGAAATTAAAGAGAGGGAACCCAGCTCCTGCGGGTTGTGCTAGAGTAATCAAGGTATCCGGAAGCCAACTACGAAGTCAGAATCACCTTTGGAGGTTCGTAGAAGCTCATGGGAGGCTCGTCGGAAAGTTGCGTCCGAGGCCCCGGCGTCGTCGAATTCAACAAAACTCCAAAAGTATGGTACCATGACAAAGAGGACGACCTCAGGAGCGTGCACGTTTTGACGAAACTCGTTTTCGACGTCGGACGAGCAAGAACCGATCTCCGCAAGTTTGCGACGTAAAACTGTCGTTTTATAAAAATCAGGTATCATTTCTGGGTATTCGAAAATGTAGATGACCTCTCTGTAATTTTCCCACAGAGACGGGTCAACACCTTTTAGTTGACTGGTAAACTTCCTATTTAGTCCCTGGTACTTTGAGTACTAACGGAATTCGTATTTCGTTCATAATTCGTTCGTTTGACGTCCAAACGACGAACCGTCTTCACCTACAGGATCGTGAGAACGAGGAGATATTTTGAAACCAAGATATGGAATTTCCTGAGCTTTCACAGAATCGGATTTCTTCATAAATAAGGTGTGTGGGCTTACGGTAAAAGGGAACTGGAATTACGTGTTTATTTCTAAATACGCATGATTGAGTTGATGATTCATGATTATGATGGATTTGTGATTGGTTCATGATTGTGATCTTGGATGAAATTATTGATGAAGTTAACTAAATTTTATGACAATAATTATTATTAATCTCGTATTGGAATTGTTGACGTTTATGGTGAACTCCGAATATTTTCTGAAAATGTCTATTGAGATCAGAATAAGGAAAGGAAATTTAAGGAATCTTGAGATGACAATAGTCATGATATATTACCATGACAATGATTATATTGGTAATAATTGAGTTTTCGGAATTAATTGGAGTTATGACGTTAAAAGGGTGAAATTGGGAATTAATAAATTGGATGAGTATATGAGAAGTGAATTCTGGTCAGAATAATTACATCAAAGGATTTGTGATCTTTGTTGGATTTTTGGATGGATGAAATTGGTTTCTACGTGGTTTCGTTATTAAAGGGAACGTATTATGATTTTCAGAATAGTGGTGATTAAGAGAAAATTATTTAAACTAGAGCGTGAGTTCAAAGTGATTACCATGAGTAATTTTATCTTGGATTTAATTTGATTTACGTTTTATGATTAATTTTGAGAAATGGTTAATTGAGTATTTAATTGGAATATTGAAAATAGTCTTATTAATGAATCATGACGAACTATGATTTAGTTTGTACTTTAAGAAATAATTATTGAGAGATGTGTTATTAGGGGAGACCTTTTCAAATGAACTTTTGATAATCATGAGAATTATATATATGGGTATGGTCCTTAGAATGGTTTCAAGTGATTAATAGAAACTCATGAAGATGAGGTTATGATCATAATATATTTAGTTATTATTTTGATATAATTAATTAATGGATGATATGGATAAACCAATGTATTTTAGATTATATGGTTCCTATGATAAAATGATTTATGACGAATGAAATATATATTGTTCATGGATATGTATGATTATGATATGATGATGATGATGATGATGATGATGATAGGGATATTGATTGCTAGTGATACGATTGATGTGTATGATTATGACATGATTAGAATATCGATTGGTATAAATGTGAGTGGTAAATATAAATATTACTGAGATATTTTGTGACAATGTTGATATGATGAATGCTTTGATTAATGATGATGTGGATGGGATATTATCATGATCGATTTGTATTTGATGTGTTAAATGATTTCGATGAGTGAATGAGGTATTGATAAAGTGAGTACTTGGTAGATTTGTCAAGTTGATTGAAGAGAATGAATTATTTATATCATTGAGAAGAAGATGATGATGATGATTATATTGAGATCATGCAATGCATCGAGTATGCATAGATGATGTGAGATATGCATGGACTGGGAATATCAATGGGACGCTATTGATTTCTTGGATCGATTGAGATATGATGGAAGAGAGAAATTGATATTGTTTGATCATGTTAAATCACATAGACATAGAAGGGCCTATGCCTACCCCTATGAGATTGATTGGGCTGCGGTCCTAATGAAAGGATTTATGATAATCCTAGATTGGATGAGATTGTGGCTTTTGATATAACCACTAAGATGATGAGCTCGAGCGGGGTGGGCGTATGGTGACCTTAGCGCGCAAATTAATAATAAATGGAGAGTCTGCATTTCATGCATTGCATATGATATATATGATGGAGACGATTTCCATAAAGGAAATCGTGAAGTTATATTCGATTGATGATTGATTGAAAGATTGATATTGTTAATTCCAAATTGGTGATTTGATTATGGATGAATGATTGATATGTTTGATGTTCAAATGATGACTTGACTTTGAATGAAAGATTGATATGATGGATTCATGAGTTGAGGTAAGTTTACGATTCTATGTCGATATATGACTTGATTCATGAAAGTCATACAATGAGGAATTGGGTTAAAGATGAATTTGGATTGATGACCTAGAAATAAATCTAGGGATAAATGAGATTTTCGCGTTGCATGATAATTTGTTGATGATGTGTTTTTAATCAACAAGATGTGATGATGTGTTGGCATGCTAACAATAGTTTTGCCGTATAGGCCAGGTCCACACACTCAGCTTAGTAGCTGACCCATTTTTCTTTCTAGATGTGACAGGTGTGATAAATTGAGGATGACTCTGGCACTGCACAATGATCGATGGAGGATTTTGATTTAAAAGGTTTTTTTCACCTATTGGTGTATTCTAGAATCCTTATTTCACGATTCGGGTTTTGAGCATGCATGATAGTTTACAATGGTCAAGCATGATTATTGACTTGAGTTGAGTATGAATGGAGTACATAAGATTGATAGTCTGGGTTTGGTGAATCTTGAACTTGACGAAGAGGGATTAATGAATTGAGAATATGATTTTTAGTAAATTGTTATGATGAGTTGAATTTTAAACATGTGAGAATGATGTGGATGTAAGTTGAGTTGGTATTTTGAATACGTAAACCCCGAGTGATTTCCGCTGCGCGGTTGAACCATCGGTTCGACCCATGATTTTAGGGTGGGGTGTTACAAGTGGTATCAGAGCCCGGTTTGTTTTCTGCATTATAGGTATGTTATTTTCACTCTTGAGAACTGATCACTCTCAAAAGGGGGAAAGTACTCCATACCCGTATTTGCACTAAACTTTCCAGGAGTTGAGACCAACCTGATGTTGTGATGCATAGTCAGAGTCCGTTGCATTCAGTCAAAATGATTTCGAGCATTTTTAGAGAAACATTTGAAATGAAATCGATTTGAGAAGTCTTTTGAAGAAAGTCTTTTGACGAGTCATTTGAGACGAAAATTGAAAAGTGATTTCCTCATCCAAGGAACCATCGATCTGTGCAAAAGGTGCCACATCCCAATTTGAGGGATGGAGTTTCCTGATTCAGGGGAAACAAGAGTTGAAAGAGTTAGTAGGAATTCTGCAAACCTTTAAGGATTGCGGATTTCATTTTGGGGTTTAGAATCCCAAGTTTCATGATATTAGTTGAGGTCAGAGAGACCCAATCTAATGATAACATTTTGATACATTAGACTAAATACGTGACTAGTGATAACGTGGATTGACGAAAAATAAATTTCTCGAGGATTGATGGAACAAGATCGCTCAGCAGACTATTAAGTACGAGAATGAGTCAAGATGAGGAGACCTTAACTAGCATGCGGCGGAAATGACGACAGACGATCGACAACGAGATACATCATCAAAATAATGATGTGAAAGGAGATAGATGACCAAAAGTTCAGGTCAATGTCTTAAAAGTCAGAGGCACCAATAGAGAGTAGATGTGATGGGCGAATAATGGACAAGTTGGGAGCTAGAATAAATGCAATGAGCCCGGAGCTAACTCATGACATGATCAACTTATGATCGGTATGAGTATGCTAAAGCACAAAAGAGAAGTGCGATAGCAAGCACGTAGCCAATATTTAGAGGCGATATAGATTAAACTCTAAAGTGACAAATTGGTGTTATATGTTATCGGATGGTAACTGACACTAAGGGATTAGCATCATGAGCAAAAACGACGAAGCTCTAGATATATCCCCCAAACCATGAATCACATTCTTGATGAATAGACGGAGAGGATGGGAGAACGTGAAGGAAAAATCATCTCAAAGAATGAGAGTTTTCTTGAACACAATAAGGAGATGTCGAATGACGGAGACTTGATGTCTCATCTGGAGGAGACAAGGTTCTATTGCGAACAATCATGTAAGCCATTGTGAAAGGAGACAAGCAAGATGACAAATCATTTAGTGACACCACTGAATTGACGAATTGCTGAGGATGAAATCATAGATGAGATGAGAAAAGGCAATGCCCAGTTTTGTTTTCGAAGCTAAAGGATCATAATTCCAAAGGTTGTGGATAAAGGCTAGAAAAGTAGGAACACTTTCAGAGGGACCATCAAAGCATAAGTGGGAGAGCGTGCTGAACTAATAAAACTGTACCCCTCAAGATACAGGATTAACCTAATGCTTATGGCAATAGGTTGACGTTATTCAATGGTTCCACTTCTCAATTCACCACAACCGAGTGAGAAGAGACATGAGAAAATAAGAGGGTTGACCATACTCGGTGCTCTATTTAAGAGTTATTCACGATGGAGTTGGTTCGAAGGATGTGTACGCTAGATTGACCAACACTTTGATTTCGGGGACGAAATCCAATTAAGAGGGGGAGAGTTGTAACATCCCAAACCTCGGACAATTTATAAGTCAATTCGGTTTGATGAGGAATCAAGAATTTCAACCATACTCGAAGAAATTGTGACCACGTCGAATGGTTTATGAAATGATGAATATTCTGGAATGATGTATCAGATATTGCGAACAAATGTTGATTCCACAAGTTAGAAAATTCTTCCACGATCACGTAGAATTTTACGGAACTAAGTTTGGATTCCAAACGAGTGAGATATGTCATTTTGAAGCTTACACTTCGTTATGGAAATAACATCCGTACCAACACTAATTTGGTCATAACTTCTTCGTTCGGAATCGAAATGACGAGCCGATTGCGCCCACACGATCATACATACGAGGAGGAGATTTCAGAAGGATCAAGTTCAGAATAAAACTCTCCATTAACTTTGTCGAACTAGTGAATCATTTCTTTAGTATTAAATTTTTGGGTAGGATATAATGGAATTAAATAGCCAATCCAATTTAGTTGTTTTTAATTTTATTCCACGAACTCTCCGCCTCACTTCCAGCAAAGCTTGAGCTGGAAACCAACTCTGTAAAGGCTTACTAACCGACAGCCTTTAATCGCCCAACCACTTCCTGTTGTGTGTGATAATTGAGAGAAGGGTCGACGGGAGGCTTTAATAATTGGAAAGCTTTCTTCTTCCTCCCATTCACCCATGGACGAACCAAAAACCTTGAGAGGAAAGAAGAGAGGAAGAAATTAAAGAGAGGGAACCCAGCTCCTGCGGGTTGTGCTAGAGTAATCAAGGTATCCGGAAGCCAACTACGAAGTCAGAATCACCTTTGGAGGTTCGTAGAAGCTCATGGGAGGCTCGTCGGAAAGTTGCGTCCGAGGCCCCGGCGTCGTCGAATTCAACAAAACTCCAAAAGTATGGTACCATGACAAAGAGGACGACCTCAGGAGCGTGCACGTTTTGACGAAACTCGTTTTCGACGTCGGACGAGCAAGAACCGATCTCCGCAAGTTTGCGACGTAAAACTGTCGTTTTATAAAAATCAGGTATCATTTCTGGGTATTCGAAAATGTAGATGACCTCTCTGTAATTTTCCCACAGAGACGGGTCAACACCTTTTAGTTGACTGGTAAACTTCCTATTTAGTCCCTGGTACTTTGAGTACTAACGGAATTCGTATTTCGTTCATAATTCGTTCGTTTGACGTCCAAACGACGAACCGTCTTCACCTACAGGATCGTGAGAACGAGGAGATATTTTGAAACCAAGATATGGAATTTCCTGAGCTTTCACAGAATCGGATTTCTTCATAAATAAGGTGTGTGGGCTTACGGTAAAAGGGAACTGGAATTACGTGTTTATTTCTAAATACGCATGATTGAGTTGATGATTCATGATTATGATGGATTTGTGATTGGTTCATGATTGTGATCTTGGATGAAATTATTGATGAAGTTAACTAAATTTTATGACAATAATTATTATTAATCTCGTATTGGAATTGTTGACGTTTATGGTGAACTCCGAATATTTTCTGAAAATGTCTATTGAGATCAGAATAAGGAAAGGAAATTTAAGGAATCTTGAGATGACAATAGTCATGATATATTACCATGACAATGATTATATTGGTAATAATTGAGTTTTCGGAATTAATTGGAGTTATGACGTTAAAAGGGTGAAATTGGGAATTAATAAATTGGATGAGTATATGAGAAGTGAATTCTGGTCAGAATAATTACATCAAAGGATTTGTGATCTTTGTTGGATTTTTGGATGGATGAAATTGGTTTCTACGTGGTTTCGTTATTAAAGGGAACGTATTATGATTTTCAGAATAGTGGTGATTAAGAGAAAATTATTTAAACTAGAGCGTGAGTTCAAAGTGATTACCATGAGTAATTTTATCTTGGATTTAATTTGATTTACGTTTTATGATTAATTTTGAGAAATGGTTAATTGAGTATTTAATTGGAATATTGAAAATAGTCTTATTAATGAATCATGACGAACTATGATTTAGTTTGTACTTTAAGAAATAATTATTGAGAGATGTGTTATTAGGGGAGACCTTTTCAAATGAACTTTTGATAATCATGAGAATTATATATATGGGTATGGTCCTTAGAATGGTTTCAAGTGATTAATAGAAACTCATGAAGATGAGGTTATGATCATAATATATTTAGTTATTATTTTGATATAATTAATTAATGGATGATATGGATAAACCAATGTATTTTAGATTATATGGTTCCTATGATAAAATGATTTATGACGAATGAAATATATATTGTTCATGGATATGTATGATTATGATATGATGATGATGATGATGATGATGATGATATGGATATTGATTGCTAGTGATACGATTGATGTGTATGATTATGACATGATTAGAATATCGATTGGTATAAATGTGAGTGGTAAATATAAATATTACTGAGATATTTTGTGACAATGTTGATATGATGAATGCTTTGATTAATGATGATGTGGATGGGATATTATCATGATCGATTTGTATTTGATGTGTTAAATGATTTCGATGAGTGAATGAGGTATTGATAAAGTGAGTACTTGGTAGATTTGTCAAGTTGATTGAAGAGAATGAATTATTTATATCATTGAGAAGAAGATGATGATGATGATTATATTGAGATCATGCAATGCATCGAGTATGCATAGATGATGTGAGATATGCATGGACTGGGAATATCAATGGGACGCTATTGATTTCTTGGATCGATTGAGATATGATGGAAGAGAGAAATTGATATTGTTTGATCATGTTAAATCACATAGACATAGAAGGGCCTATGCCTACCCCTATGAGATTGATTGGGCTGCGGTCCTAATGAAAGGATTTATGATAATCCTAGATTGGATGAGATTGTGGCTTTTGATATAACCACTAAGATGATGAGCTCGAGCGGGGTGGGCGTATGGTGACCTTAGCGCGCAAATTAATAATAAATGGAGAGTCTGCATTTCATGCATTGCATATGATATATATGATGGAGACGATTTCCATAAAGGAAATCGTGAAGTTATATTCGATTGATGATTGATTGAAAGATTGATATTGTTAATTCCAAATTGGTGATTTGATTATGGATGAATGATTGATATGTTTGATGTTCAAATGATGACTTGACTTTGAATGAAAGATTGATATGATGGATTCATGAGTTGAGGTAAGTTTACGATTCTATGTCGATATATGACTTGATTCATGAAAGTCATACAATGAGGAATTGGGTTAAAGATGAATTTGGATTGATGACCTAGAAATAAATCTAGGGATAAATGAGATTTTCGCGTTGCATGATAATTTGTTGATGATGTGTTTTTAATCAACAAGATGTGATGATGTGTTGGCATGCTAACAATAGTTTTGCCGTATAGGCCAGGTCCACACACTCAGCTTAGTAGCTGACCCATTTTTCTTTCTAGATGTGACAGGTGTGATAAATTGAGGATGACTCTGGCACTGCACAATGATCGATGGAGGATTTTGATTTAAAAGGTTTTTTTCACCTATTGGTGTATTCTAGAATCCTTATTTCACGATTCGGGTTTTGAGCATGCATGATAGTTTACAATGGTCAAGCATGATTATTGACTTGAGTTGAGTATGAATGGAGTACATAAGATTGATAGTCTGGGTTTGGTGAATCTTGAACTTGACGAAGAGGGATTAATGAATTGAGAATATGATTTTTAGTAAATTGTTATGATGAGTTGAATTTTAAACATGTGAGAATGATGTGGATGTAAGTTGAGTTGGTATTTTGAATACGTAAACCCCGAGTGATTTCCGCTGCGCGGTTGAACCATCGGTTCGACCCATGATTTTAGGGTGGGGTGTTACAAGTGGTATCAGAGCCCGGTTTGTTTTCTGCATTATAGGTATGTTATTTTCACTCTTGAGAACTGATCACTCTCAAAAGGGGGAAAGTACTCCATACCCGTATTTGCACTAAACTTTCCAGGAGTTGAGACCAACCTGATGTTGTGATGCATAGTCAGAGTCCGTTGCATTCAGTCAAAATGATTTCGAGCATTTTTAGAGAAACATTTGAAATGAAATCGATTTGAGAAGTCTTTTGAAGAAAGTCTTTTGACGAGTCATTTGAGACGAAAATTGAAAAGTGATTTCCTCATCCAAGGAACCATCGATCTGTGCAAAAGGTGCCACATCCCAATTTGAGGGATGGAGTTTCCTGATTCAGGGGAAACAAGAGTTGAAAGAGTTAGTAGGAATTCTGCAAACCTTTAAGGATTGCGGATTTCATTTTGGGGTTTAGAATCCCAAGTTTCATGATATTAGTTGAGGTCAGAGAGACCCAATCTAATGATAACATTTTGATACATTAGACTAAATACGTGACTAGTGATAACGTGGATTGACGAAAAATAAATTTCTCGAGGATTGATGGAACAAGATCGCTCAGCAGACTATTAAGTACGAGAATGAGTCAAGATGAGGAGACCTTAACTAGCATGCGGCGGAAATGACGACAGACGATCGACAACGAGATACATCATCAAAATAATGATGTGAAAGGAGATAGATGACCAAAAGTTCAGGTCAATGTCTTAAAAGTCAGAGGCACCAATAGAGAGTAGATGTGATGGGCGAATAATGGACAAGTTGGGAGCTAGAATAAATGCAATGAGCCCGGAGCTAACTCATGACATGATCAACTTATGATCGGTATGAGTATGCTAAAGCACAAAAGAGAAGTGCGATAGCAAGCACGTAGCCAATATTTAGAGGCGATATAGATTAAACTCTAAAGTGACAAATTGGTGTTATATGTTATCGGATGGTAACTGACACTAAGGGATTAGCATCATGAGCAAAAACGACGAAGCTCTAGATATATCCCCCAAACCATGAATCACATTCTTGATGAATAGACGGAGAGGATGGGAGAACGTGAAGGAAAAATCATCTCAAAGAATGAGAGTTTTCTTGAACACAATAAGGAGATGTCGAATGACGGAGACTTGATGTCTCATCTGGAGGAGACAAGGTTCTATTGCGAACAATCATGTAAGCCATTGTGAAAGGAGACAAGCAAGATGACAAATCATTTAGTGACACCACTGAATTGACGAATTGCTGAGGATGAAATCATAGATGAGATGAGAAAAGGCAATGCCCAGTTTTGTTTTCGAAGCTAAAGGATCATAATTCCAAAGGTTGTGGATAAAGGCTAGAAAAGTAGGAACACTTTCAGAGGGACCATCAAAGCATAAGTGGGAGAGCGTGCTGAACTAATAAAACTGTACCCCTCAAGATACAGGATTAACCTAATGCTTATGGCAATAGGTTGACGTTATTCAATGGTTCCACTTCTCAATTCACCACAACCGAGTGAGAAGAGACATGAGAAAATAAGAGGGTTGACCATACTCGGTGCTCTATTTAAGAGTTATTCACGATGGAGTTGGTTCGAAGGATGTGTACGCTAGATTGACCAACACTTTGATTTCGGGGACGAAATCCAATTAAGAGGGGGAGAGTTGTAACATCCCAAACCTCGGACAATTTATAAGTCAATTCGGTTTGATGAGGAATCAAGAATTTCAACCATACTCGAAGAAATTGTGACCACGTCGAATGGTTTATGAAATGATGAATATTCTGGAATGATGTATCAGATATTGCGAACAAATGTTGATTCCACAAGTTAGAAAATTCTTCCACGATCACGTAGAATTTTACGGAACTAAGTTTGGATTCCAAACGAGTGAGATATGTCATTTTGAAGCTTACACTTCGTTATGGAAATAACATCCGTACCAACACTAATTTGGTCATAACTTCTTCGTTCGGAATCGAAATGACGAGCCGATTGCGCCCACACGATCATACATACGAGGAGGAGATTTCAGAAGGATCAAGTTCAGAATAAAACTCTCCATTAACTTTGTCGAACTAGTGAATCATTTCTTTAGTATTAAATTTTTGGGTAGGATATAATGGAATTAAATAGCCAATCCAATTTAGTTGTTTTTAATTTTATTCCACGAACTCTCCGCCTCACTTCCAGCAAAGCTTGAGCTGGAAACCAACTCTGTAAAGGCTTACTAACCGACAGCCTTTAATCGCCCAACCACTTCCTGTTGTGTGTGATAATTGAGAGAAGGGTCGACGGGAGGCTTTAATAATTGGAAAGCTTTCTTCTTCCTCCCATTCACCCATGGACGAACCAAAAACCTTGAGAGGAAAGAAGAGAGGAAGAAATTAAAGAGAGGGAACCCAGCTCCTGCGGGTTGTGCTAGAGTAATCAAGGTATCCGGAAGCCAACTACGAAGTCAGAATCACCT